GGCCACCAAACTCGTCCTTCGCTACCTAGCAGCAATGCATCACAAATGCAGTCTTGTGCAACAGGTACACACACACACACATCCTGCCATGCACAAACTGCTGCCATTATATTTAGATGCACACATGCATGTTCCTGCCTTGAAGGATAACCGCTGTCTCTTTGCATCTTCTGTCTGTGTCTTTGCGGGCTCTCTCTGAGTGCAGATTGAGGTAGTGGGGTTCCCCGCATGACTTGTGCTTTACATTTTACACCTTCACACATGGCCATAAGAGTAGCAGGTTGCTGTGCTGTGTGACAGTATTCATTATGTAATGCTGTGCTGTGTCATTTTCTATAAGATCTGACCTGTACATGTTTGACTGACCGGGATCTAAGTTGACTAATGTTTAGCTCATGTTTCATTCATGTGATTATGTTTCACACAGAAACATGTGGTTTGCATTGAATGTTTTTTCTTTGCTGTCGACCAGTCTACTTGAAATGAATACTACAGTTTCTGTCCTGGTACTTCTTTTCTAATATTTGCCACCCACCTGATTAAAGATGTTGATTTGCTGTGTGTCTGAATGCACCGTAGATACTTGAGGCAGCTCCTCTGCTTGAATCGTTTGGAAATGCCAAAACTGTGCGGAATGATAATTCCAGTCGCTTTGGGAAATACATAGAGGTGTATCTGGAGGAGTGAGTATGAAATAAACACACATTCCAGTCTCTGTTGGCATCTCTCATCATCTCTTCTCTAATCTAACAGTGGTTTTGTGTTTCTTCTCTTTCCCCTTTCACTCTGTGCTCTCTGCCGGCTCCCTCTCTCGTCAGTGGTGTGATCAGTGGTGCCATAACCTCTCAGTATCTTCTGGAAAAGTCTCGTATTGTCTTTCAGGTGACACATGCAAACACTTAGATAAGATGACACTGAATTCCTTATACTTTTCTGTATATTGAGGTGTTTGTAGGTAAAAGGGTGTTTCTGTTCCAGGCCAAAGATGAAAGGAACTATCACATATTTTATGAGATGCTGGCAGGACTCCCGTCGCAGCAGAAGCAGGCTTTCTATCTCCAAGAGGCTGAGACCTACTATTATCTCAACCAGGTAGAAGATGCAGCGCAGAATGGGCACTCATCATGTTGCAATAGAGCCACTCATCAGATCAACATGCACATCACTGCTGTGCGTTTCTCTCTCTCCACAGGGGGGGGACTGTGGAATAAGAGGAAATAGTGATTCAGATGACTGCCTGCGTCTGCTTTCTGCCATGGAGATCCTTCACTTTACCCCTGAAGACCAGTCAGCCATTTTTAGAATTCTTTCTTCCATACTACACCTGGGCAATGTCTACTTTCAAAGACACGAGGTATTGATAGTGAGTGTTGCTGAATTAGTTTGACCTTTTTATTATGTTATTGTTCAGCGAATTCCTCCCTAGGCTTTTCCCAGAATGCCCTCTCTTTCTTTTTTCGTTATTAATATTAGTTAAGTGGAGATAATTCATACACAGTATAAATAATTTTGGTACATTTTTGGAATACTTTTGTCACCCAGATAAGACAGCTGATAATAAACACTGAACACGTATACGCTCATAATTAATTAGAGCAGAACAATTTTACAGAAGGTAACACATTAAAGAAAAACCCATCATAAAGAGTCTCGGTGAGGTACTGGGCCACCACGTGCCACCAGAACAGTGTCACCTTGGCATTGACTCTCCAAGTGTCTGAACTCTACTGGAGGAATGAGCACCATTCTTACAACACATATCTCCTCATGATGTGTTTTGATGATGCTGGTGGAGATGCTGTCTAACACGTCTCCCCTAGCAAAGTCACGGTCAGTATTAAACTACAGTATCTGCAGAGAGAAACGTTATTTTATTGCCTGCTTGAAAACAAGAGGCGTTAGAGATTTGACTCAGGCTCATTCTTGCTTTTTGTGTTGTTTGAGTCACAGCAAATCATTTACAGTCGGGTTTGACCTTATGGTGACAGGCAGGTTTCAGTCTGATGTCTTGTGCTATAATAAAAACAAAGCAATAACGTTGAGGTCTGGTGACTGTGAAGGCCACGGCGTCTGAGTCACACCATGTTCATCTTCATCAAACCATTCAGTGACCCCTCCTGTCCTATGGATGGGGACACTGTCATCCTGGAGGAGACCACTTCCATCAGGATGAAAATGTTTCATCATAGGATAATTAACAGCTTTGTATTGATTTGCAGTGACAAAGCACAGCAGCAGAATGCCCCCCACATCACAGCAGAATCACTGGATCTCCTCACTGCAGGGGTCCAGCATTCAAGTTTTTCCTTTAATTAGTCACCCATCTCTAAGTACAACATGGGTGCCGTTGGGCGGGGG